TTGTTCCCATAGGCTCAGAGACCCTTGGCTCATGGGGAAAGAATGCATCTAAATTCCTTAAGGAGCTGGGAAAAAGATCATCAGGGTAACTAGGGGTCCCAGGGCAGTAGTTTTCTGTTTTCCCGCGGCTCAGTGCGGCTGTTCAAAGGGGTAATACCTGCTGTATTTTGGGCACACGCCCCAGCTCTGAGGAGCTGGATGAGATTTTCGCCCTATAATCGGTGATACACACGTAATAACATGTACTGTATATGCCACCTTTATATCAACAATGTATCTCTTAAATTTTTTGTAGCATATTATGTAATAAAATATTCCTACTGGTAAAAAAAAAAATATGAAAAGATGGGGTAGTAGGGAAAGTGGAATATTCAAATGGCTTCAGGAAGAAATCCAAATATTCATCCTTGAAGCCTTATATATATATATATATATATATAAAATATATATATATAATATATATATATTATATATAAAATATATAATATATATATATATATATATATATATATATATATATATAAATATATATAAAATATATATATGGAGAAGTACATTTTAATATATGTATGTATGTATGTAGTATATATATATAAATATATATTTATATATATATATATATATATATATATATATATATATATATATATATATATATAAAATATATATATGTATGTATTTATATATTAAATATATGTATGTATATATATATTAAATATATATATATATATATATATATTTTATATATTATATATATATATAAAATATATATAAAATATATATATATATTAAATATATATATATTATAAAATATATATATAAAATATATATATATATATTTATATATATATATATATATATATATATATATATATATAATACAGTGGACCCCCCGCTTAACGATCACCCCCAAATGCGCCCAAATTATGTAAGTTTTATTTATGTAAGTGCGTTTGTAGTGTATGTTTGGGGGTCTGAAATGGACAATCTACTTCACAAATTCCTTATGGGAAAAATTCGGTCAGTACTGGCCCCTGAACATACTACTGGAATGAAAAAAGTTCGTTAACCGGGGTCCACTGTATATATATATATATATATTATATAAATATATATATATATTTATATATAATATATATATATATATATATAATTATATATATAATATGAAGGAGGGGTGTTAATGTTGCAGTTTAAAAACTGTAGTGTAAAGCACCCTTCTGGCAAGACAGTGTTTGGAGTGAATGATGGTGAAAGTTTTTCTTTTTCGGGCCACCCTGCCTTGGTGGAATCGGCCAGTGTGATAATAAAATAAAATAAAAATTTTATATATATTTATATATATATATATAATATATATATATTTTATATATATATATATATTTTTTATATAATATTAAATTATATATACATACAGGAAGGCCCGTTTTACGGCGTTTCACTTTACGGGTTCCGCTAATACGGACATTTCAAATTATGACCAAAACTCGCTATACGGCTCCCCCCACCTGACTTTCTAATACGGTCACCGTGCCCCACCCTTTTTGTTTACATTCCCCATGAGCTCAGTAAGCACTAAGTCTCTCCATTTTGTCTGGAAACTCCAAAATTTCAAATGTTTTTAAAGTTATTTCATATTTTTATATACTTTGTAACATACTTTGTATCCCTGTACCTAAATAAACTTCATACTGTGCTGGCATGCAGGTACACTTTAAAAATTGGTAAGTTTTATGTCTCCAGACGTCATATTAGTAATGATAATAATAATCATCGAGTCATTTAAATGTCGTATATTACGTTAATATAACATTTTCATTAATCCATCCATGATAATTTTTTTCAAAATTATATAATAAACACGTTTGCTTTAACATATAAATAAGATAAATACACCCACAGTAGAATAATAAACAAAAATTTGGTGAGTTGGGTAGCAGACGACTTGCACAAGTGATCCCATATTAGAAATGATAATAATAAAAATACTCACCGAGTCTCATTAAATGTCGTATATTACGGTAATATACACATTTTCATTAATCCACCCATGATATTTTTTTCAAAATTATATAATAAACACGATGCATAACATATAAATAAGATAAATACACCCCACAGTAGAATAAATAAACATAAATGTAAGATGTGGTAGCAGACGACTTGCACAAGTGACGCCATATTAGAAATGATAATAACAATACTCCCCGGAGTCTCTTTAAAATGTCGTATATTACGTTAATATACACATTTTCATTAATCCATCCATGAATTTTTTTTAAATTATATAATAAACACGATACATAACATAAAAAGATGATAAATACCCCACAATAGAATAAATAAACATAAATATAAGATGTGGGAGCCACATAACTTGTACAAGTGACGGCAAGAATTTAACATTTTCTCTAATCTAACATAAGAGAAAATGTGTTACTGGGGGTAACTGTAGAAAATTTATTCTTTTCGTATGTAAGTAAGTTTATTCAGGTATACACAAATACAGTTACATAGATTACATACATAACAACATACGTGTAGAGAACCTAGAAAAACCAAAAAGTCAGTGTGACTTATTTCCATTGCCTTCAAATAGAGCTTATTTCTTTTCAAAATGATTTTTACATGAGAATGGGAGTGTTCTTCTTTATTAATTCTACCGTTTTCAATGTAGAGACAACCTGTACACAATGTAACTTTTACACAAACCAGTGTGTACACTTCGTTTGTTTACAAAACTTACCTTCGCCTGGTTTGTTTACATATCTCTGCGCCTGCCCCCTCTCATGTATTGTACTCATTCTTTCTCTCTCTCATTTATTCGTTTTATCTCAATTTACTTACTCCTGACCCTACATCAAGACTACAAATATTTTAAGGTAAGTAATGAGTGAACTGTATATACATTTTATCGCTCTGGGATGCTTAAATATCATAGAATAGTATGTGTGGGTGGGGTGGCCTGGTGAGGTTTAGCCTGGCTATTACCATACATACCACACTCGATTTTTACAATAATACTACTTGTCTCACCCTAGTTAAGACTATAAATATTTTAAGGTAAGTAATGAGTGCACTTGTGTGAATTGTACTTTTTTATTGTTTTTTGATGCCTGGTTCTTTGCTAACTTAATATATGTTAGTGTAAACTTGTTATCTAGTGTTTGTATGCATTTATAAGTGGAAAAAAAGGGTGTTCCACTTTACGGCGATTTCCGCTTTACGGCGGTAGCCTGGAACCTAACCTGCCTTTATAAGTGGGGGCCCTCCTGTATATTATATATATAATATATATATATATATATATATATATATATATATATATATATTGGACCCCGCATAAACGATTACCTCCGAATGCGACCAATTATGTAAGTGTATTTATGTAAGTGGTTTGTACGTGTATGTTTGGGGGTCTGAAATGGACTAATCTACTTCACAATATTCCTTATGGGAATAAATTCGGTCAGAAACTGGCACCTGAACATACTTATGGAGTGGAAAAAATATCGTTAACCGGGGGTCCCCTGTATATTATATATATTACATACATACATTTCCCTACGTATATTAAAATGTACTTCTCCTAACCTGTGTCAATATAGAGTAAGAATTAGTATTAGTCTGGCCAGAAAGCCTAGGCATGCTAGTGGCCTTTTTGTAATTAATATTTATAACGTAAAGCACACATTGTAAACTTTACAGGAAATAAACATTTTTCATAAGGCGGTTTTAGTAAGTATAATAAAAAGTGATGTTTGAAGTTCGAGAATCTGGGAGTCAGAAGGTCATCAGTGTGCACTCAGAGGTCTGATATTGTACTTGAAAATTGATATATTCCTGGTATTACTAAGGACAGTTTATGCTGGGACTGCTGTGTAGTATACACAGTTATTTTCACAGCGGTATTCTTCGGGATATTACTGACGCAGCAGATTTAAATTGGGGTCATTGTCAGCATTCATGAAGAATGAGGTGGGGATTCTGAAGATAAAGGATGAGGTGGGATTTAGAAGGTAGTGGATGAGGTGGGATTTAGAAGGTAGTGGATGAGGTGGGATTTAGAAGGTAGTGGATGAGGTGGAATTTAGAAGGTAGTGTTTGAGGTGGGATTTAGAAGGTAGTGGATGAGGTGGGATTTAGAAGGTAGTGGATGAGGTGGGATTTAGAAGGTAGTGGATGAGGTGGGATTTAGAAGGTAGTGGATGAGGTGGGATTTAGAAGGTAGTGGATGAGGTGGGATTTAGAAGGTAGTGGATGAGGTGGGATTTAGAAGGTAGTGTTTGAGGTACAGTTATCAGCATGCTGCACTTATTATGATTATTTATATAAATATGACGGCAGTAGTCAGTGAGAATGTAACTTGTAAAACAATTTTGGTAAAATGTTTGTGTTAATCAAATAAATCAATGTATTAAGTACAAATAAGATGATACACAATGAAACTAGTAAACAGGATATAAAATGGCAACAAGATTTATTTGTAATAAAAAGTGAGAGGCAAACAAAAGGTAAACTTCACAATGATCTAGTAAGTGGAGGATAACAATGTGTAGTGAGCAAATAATGACAGACAAGTGAAGAATGAAACTAATTATTGCACTGCAATGAGGTAGGTGTTTTGCCCTAACAGTAAGGCTGGTTTAGTGTAACAGTGCTATATTGACTGTGTTTTACCCCCCCCAGTGAGGCTGGTATGAGGCAGCTGGTTGCTGGCGCTGACGCTCTTCTGAACCTTGCTGCCGTTAGCGACATCCCTGGCATCACGACGCCCCCATTGATGGAGGTTGTGTGTTGTCTGGAGGACCCCGGGGGTCATTGACCCCCTGCCACCAACTCCAGAGCTCCATGCCACATCGGGGGAAAGTGCACATCTCAAAGCAATTTATCGGCGAGGTCGTCACACAAGAGCAGTGTCGGAGGGAAGAAGAAGAAGAAGAAGGAGGAGGAAGTGGCACTGGTACACAACAACAACACCATTATTGACGACAATAACATGTGTTGAAGGACAGACGACCTTATGGTGGCCCAGGTCGCTGCGGCGGTGCTCGTAGACAACAACAACAACTGCCCAGTTTGCAATAACAAGATGTTCAATAGTGTATTGACATCGAACATTTGTGCAACAAACGCATGCCAGTAAGACATCAATGCACTGGTTACAACACTTACAAATTATTTAAAAATTGAGAAACGTCAACTGTGTTTGTTAAAATGACTTATAAGATTACAAATGAGGTTAAACAAGAGAAAAACACCAACTTGCTTGTTTAATGGCTTTAAAACACTTACGGATGTGCCTGCATAGACTAGGAAGTGGCATTGTCTCTGTCAATTTTGCAAACACCTGTGCATATGCATGCGCAGATGTTTTAGATTCAGTATAACTGTGTTTTATGTAAATGCTGAGATAAACGGCGGATGTGTTGTGTTTGTGAAGCAACGAGTGACTTATATTATGCAAAGAATTGTTGCATCTGTGGCAGAAACAAGTGACTGTCTAGTATGCAAAGTCTGTCAGAAGAGTCACACTTGTGATGAGATGAGTGACTTATCAACCAAGCAAAGTCTATCACAAGTTACATCGGCAATCTAATAAGTGACTTATCGACCAAGCAAAGTCTATCACAAGTGACTTCAGCAATCTAATAAGTGACTTATTGACCGAGCAAAGTCTGCCGGAACAGTCAAACAAGTGAACAACCTTATGCAAAGTCCTTGACTGGATCTTATGCAATTAGTGATTGATGTTTTGAAAATTTTTTTTGTACACATTTATAAGACTTTGTACAGATGGTTAATTTAGGGAGTTCAGAAACACTCAGAAGTATGATTGTATACATAGTGTATGATTGGTTACCTGTATACATAATGTATGATTGGTTACCTGTATACATAGTGTATGATTGGTTGCTTGTATACATAGTGTATTTCCTTGTTGTATTATCGTTTGGCTTTATTGTATTGTTGAGTTTTCAAAGCTCTGAGCTTGACAGAGTGAGCTCTGAGTGTCAATAAGCTCTGTAATTAACCCTTTTGAGGTTCGTTCTGTAGTACTTTGGTTTTGAGGTCAGGATCTGGGCTACAGTACTGCTGTTTTGAGGTCAGGGTCCGTGCAGTAGTTCTATGTGATCAGCTCAGCTCACTCAGATAAGCTGTGAGCTGTAAATTTGGGCCTAGATATGAGAGAATGGGTCTATGTGGTAAGTGTGCACCATGCATTGCATGATGGGAGAAAACTGTGACTGTGTTTGGGTTAAAATAACAACTTTGGAATATATTTTCGATGATTTTTATGTCTGTATTCTTGGTCTCATTTGATAGAATGGAAGATTTGTTACAGAAATAGAGATGAATTTGATTGGTATCAGGACTGGAAGTAGCTTGAAATTGAGCTCAAGGTAACAGAAATGTTCGATATTGGCCGATATTCCAGAAGACACAAATAGTCACTCATCCAATACGGGTCCATCTGGCCAGTCTAATATGCATTTACATATGCACTGACATTTATACAATTTTTACAATTATGCAGTAGTCTACATAACATTAAATTTTTTTATTTTTTGTGTGAATAAAAATTCAAAATGGAAAGGAAGCATAATATAGGAGAGTCGCCAGAGACGTGAGTCATGAACGAAGAAAATGCTGTATTGGTGCCATAAATGTCTGCATTGTTTATTCTGGACCCTATTTTAAAATTGGCCGTATTTGAATTTTGTGTGAAACTGGCTAAATTACCAATTTCTGATCACTTTATTGGGTAATTTAAATAGGTAAATGGGTGGTTTCTTGTGTTCGCTCAATAGAATGGAAGACATGCTAGCGAAATAGCTATGAGTTTGGTCAATTGGAACAATGGAATTGATCTAAAATAGGGCTCAAAGTGGGCAAAATTGCCAATTCATAAACACTGCCAAGACTGCTAACTTTATGAGAGCGAACTTCCCTAAGTTTTCCATCAGATTTTGTATTTTTGGCATCACTACCTTCAGAAAAAGATTCTTATCCTTTCATAAGATTTTTTTTTTTTAATTCTTGGACCCTGAGAGAGTTGTCAGATCAGGGGTCTGGACCCTGAAAGGGTTATTGAGCTCTGTCAAGCTCACTGCTGTTTAAATTGTGATTTGTATCACTGTAAGCTTTAAACACAATTCTATGGCTACAGCAATTCAAAATGCCCTGGCTACAACACTTCACACAATACCCTGTCTACAACACTTCACACAATACCCTGTCTACAACACTTCACACAATACCCTGTCTACAACACTTCACACAATACCCTGGCTACAACACTTCACACAATACCCTGGCTACAACACTTCACACAATACTCTGGCTACAACACTTCACACAATACCCTGGCTACAACACTTCACACAATACTCTGGCTACAACACTTCACACAATACTCTGGCTACAACACTTCACACAATACCCTGTATACAACACTTCACACAATACCCTGTCTACAAACACTTCACACAATACCCTGTCTACAACACTTCACACAATACCTGGCTACAACACTTCACACAATACTCTGGCTACAACACTTCACACAATACTCTGGCTACAACACTTCACACAATACTCTGGCTACAACACTTCACACAACATTCTGGCTACAACACTTCACACAATACTCTGGCTACAACACTTCACACAATACTCTGGCTACAACACTTCACCAATACTTTGGCTACAACACTTCACACAATACTCTGGCTACAACACTTCACACACATTCTGGCTACAACACTTCACACAATACTCTGGCTACAACACTTCACACAATACCCTGGCTTCAACACTTCACACATACCCTGGCTACAACACTTCACACAATACTCTGGCTACAACACTTCACACAATACTCTGGCTTCAACACTTCACACAATACCCTGGCTTCAACACTTCACACAATACCCTGGCTGCAACACTTCACACAATACCCTGGCTTCAACACTTCACACAATACCCTGGCTGCAACACTTCACACAATACCCTGGCTACAACACTTCACACAATACTCTGGCAGCAACACTTCACACAATACTCTGGCTACAACACTTCACACAACATTCTGGCTACAACATTTCACACAATACTCTGGCTGCAACACTTCACACAATACCCTGGCTGCAACATTTCACACAATACTCTGGCTGCAACATTTCACACAATACCCTGGCTGCAACACTTCACACAATACTCTGGCTGCAACATTTCACAAAATACCCTGGCTGCAACATTTCACACAATACCCTGGCTGCAACATTTCACACAATACTTTGGCTGCAACACTTCACACAATACTCTTACTGCAACATTTCACATAATACTCTGGCTGCAACATTTCACAAAATACCCTGGCTGCAACACTTCACACAATACTTCGGCTGCAACACTTCACACAATACTCTGGCTGCAACATTTCACAAAATACCCTGGCTGCAACATTTCACAAAATACCCTGGCTGCAACACTTCACATAATACTCTGGCAAAAATTCAAATCAACAGTGAACTTTGATATTAGTGTTTTAAGTCTGTTCAGTGACACTAAAAGTGGTCCAACATGGTACCTGGCCAATTATTTGGCCCCCTGCTAGTGGTCCACCATCGGATCCACCCTCGACGCGGCTCCTGGGCTGGAAATCTTTGCCTTGACCTTCCTCCTCTGGAGGTAGATTTTGCTGCATTCTAAATCTACTCCCTCGTTCTAAATCTGTTAACACGTTTGTTTTTAAATCTACATGTATTTCCACGTTTGTTGAAGCGATAGACTCAAGACAGCAATAATTTCTGTTTGCCTTGTTTGCCAAAACAAATGAATCACTAAAAACCATACCACGGGCGGGGATTGAACTCGTGGAGAGCGAGTTGTAAATGAATCACTTAGACGTTGTCTTCTGATTTCCTGTGGAATCTAAGTGGCAGTCACTGTTGCATATGCAGTAAAGCTTGTATATGCACTGTTGAATAGCAATACTGTTGATACAATAGCTATTGTATTTTATAAATTATATACCAGGTCCTCGGCTTGCAAACATTCCAAGTCGGGAACAACAACGCGCTTGTAACACGGGGAATGAGGGCGTTTGTTAAAACACCTGCAACACCAGTGTTTGTTAAAACACCTGCAATTCCAGTGTTTGCTAATTAAAACACCAGCAACACCAGTGTTAGTTAAAACACCTGCAACAATAGTGTTTGTTAGTTAAAAACACCAGCAACACCAGTGTTAGTTAAAACACCAGCAACACCAGTGTTAGTTAAAACACCAGCAACACCAGTGTTAGTTAAAACACTTGCAACACCAGTATTAATTAAAACACCAGCAACACCAGTGTTTGTTAATTAAAATACCAGCAACACCAGTGTTTGTTAATTAAAACACCAGCAACACTAGTGTTTGTAATTAAAACACCAGCAACACCAGTGTTTAATTAAAACACCAGCAACACCAGTGTTTGTTAATTAAAACACCAGCAACACCAGTTTGTTAAAACAGCGTTTGTAATTCAAGGACCTGGTATCCCTCATATATACCTGTAATATACCAACACAAACATATGACTGTATATACCCAGGTTGGAACACAAGTGTAGTAATATGTTCATTTGTTCAGCGCCTCAGGACCATTCTCCATGTTCGTGTTGTCGAGATGAATGACCAGGTCTTAAATGGACACCCAGGTCTGACACGACTGACTGGGTCTGAAACGAACAACTGGGTCTGAGACGAATGATAGGGTCTGAGACAAACGACCAGGTCTGAGATGAACAACCAGTTCTGACTCACGAAATCGTAATAACACGATTGCAAACAAACCATACCACGGGTGGGATTTGAACCCGCGGTCAGAGAATCTCAAAACTCCAGACCGTCGCGTTAGCCACTGGACCAGCTGGTCCAGTGGGTAAGCGCGTTGGATTTTAAAACCCTTGACTGGGGGTTAAAATCCCCCCCCGTGGTAGGACGAGTCTGAGATGAACAACCGGGTCTGGTCTCCCTTAGGTTTTGGAGAGTAGTACAACACGGGCGGGAGCAGTGATCGACCCCCCCCAAACACAATTAGATACGTTCACTCTCCAAACCAAAAAAATTCTTTTTATCTCCCAAACACACCAAAAATTCGGCTTTTACAAGAACTTTATTTGGGAAATTCCATAATTTTTAGGGGATTTAAGTTGAAATTCGTAAATTATTGAAATTTACATACAAAAATTTTTTTGGGAAGGAACTGGAGGCATTGTGTAAAATAATTACTTTGATTAAATGGTCTTTTTGGTCTATTAAGGAATTTTTGGGAAAACATTTTAAATTTTTAAAAACCCGCTGGGCATAAAATTCAAAGTCAGATAGTTTTGAAAAAAGTAAGCTAATATTTTTTAAAGGTAAATTTTGATTTTAAAAAAGTCCACTAGTGGAAAAGTTTGTTGAGGAGGGGAGGAGGGGAGGGAAAAGGGGGGAACAGTTAATATTAAGTGGACCTCGTCTTCCTTCAAATATAAAAATAAAACACTATATTAAGTCAGAACAAGTTTTAATTCTAAATACGAAAAAATTATAGAATTAAAAAAATCTAGAGATATTTTTTGTTGCAAAGGGCGTTTTTATGATACCTTGTGGTACCGTACTAGTTGGGACTAGTACTTGTGGGGACTAGTACTAGTGGTACTTACTGTCAGTACTAGTGGTACTAGTACTTGTGGGACAGTATATGGCACTAGATTTTGTGGTACTAGACTTGTGGAACTGTACTTTGGGACTTTATTGTGGTACTGTACTATTACTTGTGGGACTGTCTTGTGGTTACTGAACTAGTGGGACTATTACTTGTGGGATATACTATGGCACTATTACTTGTGGTACGGGCACTATTACTTGTGTACTGTGGCACAAAATTTCTTGTGGTACAGTACTATGGCACTATTACTTGTGGTACAGTACTAATGGCACTATGTGGTACTAGTAGTAGCACTAGCACTACTGGTATACAGTAATTTTTTAAAAATAATGTTTAAAAAATTAGGGATATGTTTTAATGGGGGAGGCTTTGGGGGGGGGGCCAGGACTAGAGGAATTTTTGTGGGGTGGTTGAGTATTGTGGGTGAGGCTAGGAGCTGTGTTTTCGCCCTCCGAAAGTTTTGTGGGGTGAGTACCACACATGCAGCATGCAGGCACACACACACAGACAAGGTAAAGGGCGTAAGACAGGAAGAGAGGGGTGGTAGACTACTTTTCTTGGACTGTAAGAAGGCTTTCAACACAGTACCACACAAAAGAGGGGTAAAAATTTTAGAGGAGAAAAAAAGGCCCTGCAGGGACGAGAATACCTGACGGGAAGGAAAAAAGTCATGTGTCAGATGGGCACTGTGATGAGGGGGTTCCACAAGGGTCGTCCTGGGGCGGGGTGCTGTTTCGGTAGTGTAATGACACGACAAAAGGGATAGATTTGGAGATGCCCATTTGCGTATGAAGCAAATGAAAAAATTCAAGTGGATGAGGATAGACAGGACCAAAGGATCTGAATTTGCTGCAAGCCTGGTTCAACACCAAGTGCAAAGTAAAGGGGGGCCAAAGACTACAGATTCACTCAAGAAAAAGGATCTTGGATAAGTATAAACCAAGCCTCCCGAGGTGCACATCAACAAATAACTTTTGCAACAAAGGGGTGCCGGGAAACCTGAGAATAGTGTTTTTAACACCAGAGAAGGAGCCATTGAAGACAGTACATGTGTATGCAGGCCCATATTGGAGTAGCGCACCAATATGAAACCCACACCAGTCAAACTGTCAGAAAATTTGACAAAGTGCAAAGATTGCAACAAAATTAGTCCCCGACTTTGGGGTATGTCTTTTAGGAGGGTTAAGGAAATCCATCTGAAACACTGAAAAATAGGGTGGGGGGGGGGGGGGGGTAGACATGATAATTGACAAGGTGGAAGGACAGGGTTTCCAGAGATGGGACCAAACAACAGGGGATCAAATTGGAGGTTGAAGACCAGATGATTCACAGGGTGTTTGGAAGTATTTTTTCATCTAGATTTCAGGAAGTGGAAATTTTCTGGGGTGAGGTAGTGGGGGCAGGTACCATATGTAGCTTTAAAAAAAGAGGTATGATAAATCTCATGAGAGGGAAGAGAGAGGACCTAGTAGACCCAAAGAAGAGGGGGCTAGGGGCTTGTCAACCCCGCAACCACAAATAGGTGAGTGCACACACACACAAAAGTAATACCCTTGTTGACAAAAACATTGTTCCCCATAATAATGTTGGTTACACCAAACAATAACATTGTTACCCCCTCAAACAGTAACATTGTTAAATTTTTAATAGGCAAAGTTAGGCCCTTTTATTCCAAAACGTTTCTCTTCACAGTAGGGCTTCAGTCGAGTACAGAAAGTACGGGCGGTAGGGTTTAAGTGATGT